AAAATTTGATATAAACAATATGAAAACATGGATCCATCCTGCCTTGCATCCATAATTCAGGCTGGGGGTGGTGGTGTAATGGTGTGGGGGATATTATCTTGTTACCCATTGAGCCCCTTAGTACCAATTGAGCATCGTTTTAATGCCACAGCCTACCCGAGTATTGTTACTGACCACGTCCATCCCTGTATGACCACAGCCTACCTGAGTATTGCTGCTGACTGTGTCCATCCCTTTATGACCACAGTGCATCCAGCTTCTAATGACTACTTACAGCAGGATAAGACACCATGTCACAAAGCCCATATAATCTCAGACTGGTTTCTTGAACATGACACTGAGATCACTGTACTCAAATGGTCTCCACAGTCACCAGATCTCAATCCAATAGAGCACCTGTTGGATATGGTGGACGGGAGATTTGCATCATGAAGGTGCAGCTGACAGATCTGCGGCAGTTCTGTGATGCCATCATGTCAACATGGACCAAAGTCTCTGATGAATGTTTCAAGGACCTTGTTGAATCTATTACATGAAGAATTAAGGCAGTTCTGAAGGTAGAAGGTGCTCCAACCCCATACTAATTAGTGTACCTAATAAAGTGGCCAGTGACTGTATATATTTAAGTAATGCCAGTTTCTTTAAATCCCGTAACACCAGCCTCACCTTGACAAATGCGTAGCTAGTTCCATAGTTTGGGAAACTAAATACCAACATTCTTTGTTTGAGTAATGTCGACCAGAGTCATTTTTCCATGCAGCACACACCCATGTGTTAAATATGCCACTGAATTAAAACCACAAAGACATGTATATATCTCAGAAAGTGATACTGTTTCTTTAGGTCATTGTAAGGCCTCTGGGAGTGTGTGTGTGTGTGTGTATATGTTTTTTTTTAGCATTTAAACACAAAATGAACTGGATAAAACAAGAAGAGCATATACTGTACTAAACACATCTAAGCACATTTATCAAAACAGTAATTTGTAAAGTAAGAAAATAAATGTATCAAAACAATGTGTAAAGTTAAAAAAAACAATGTGTCCTGCCCCTATCCTCCGCTCCTTCCATGTGCCACACCCCCTCGTTAATCCCCATGTGATCAGCTGTTTCTGGTTGTTTTCATTAGCTCTCTGTATTTCGTCCGCGTTTCAGTTTGTTTTCCCAGTCCGGTCATTGTATTGTCCGTACCTGTAATTAAACCCCGTATTCCCCGATACCCTGAAGTCTACGCCTTTGTCTGCGTTCTGTCCCAGCTCGGCACGACAATATTATTATAATTAAATGTATTAATGGTTTATTGTTAATATTAAAATAATGAATAAGAAATCTTTATTTTTAAATGTATTTTATTATATAATAATAATTACTGTCACAGTCTATCATTGTCTAAATGTATTTTACTGTCTAAATATATGTATTCAGTTAGTGTAAACATGCACGATGCTATCACAGCGAATGCCAGGCTGAGACTGAAGCGTTACCCTTTGTTTCCGCTGAGAGACATGTCGCCGTGACTCATTTCCCCACACGTACAAGTTATCTTAGGTCGGCGTTCACGGTTTGACTTCTGAGATTCAGATCGAGCTCTAGGTAATTTTTTTTCAAAGACTTTTAAGAAATTCGAGTTCTAATGAGTTTGAGAACTGAGGTACCACTGTGTGTGTGCGTGTATATATATATATACACATGCACACACACACACATATATATGTACCCATACACACATGGGATATGAAGACCGATAGGGAAGTGTAAAATAACATTAACAGCAAAAGAACAGTGCGATGGAGAAAATGCTGGCGTTCCGGCCACAGAACAAGACTGACATGCTTGCATAAATCATGTTGTGATGATCTTCCAAAGCCTCGGTTGGTTGGTAATATAATAAACAGCCTGACACCAAGAATTGGGATCATGCTTCGCTCCGCCGTTTGCAGCTAATCCCCTCCAGGAGACATGGTCTAACCACTGCTTTACTCATTTATTGGTCGTCCCTCCTCGCCAGACGTCAAATACCCCCTCCAGAGGCCTGGGGGTGAGTTGCTGCACACCGCATACCCCCTCGCTGTGCTCTTATTCCCATGAATGGCTCCCACTTCTGGGGCTCTGCCTCACTGGTCATGTTTGTGCAGCCGCTCACGGGGGCAGGGGTACAAGCGTGAGAAGATAGAGCAGCATGGCCAGCTGTCCGTGTGCTTGCCTCTAAGCTAATGACGGGGCTGTCCAATCGCCACACATTCTTCTTAAAATTTCACATGATCATCACTTAGGGTGTTTTGATACATGGGCCATTTTGAAGGACTGTGTAATAAAAGAACACATCTAAAAAAACCAGCCTCAATCAGGCATTCACTCAGGACACCTATGGGTAATCACCTGATTATGGAGGCTTTTAAGTATGTGTGTGTTAATTTCTGCTTTATGTATCCAATGCAGGTTTCTAGAAGGTCCTCTGGGTCACTTTGCCTTTGTGTGATTATTTCTAAGTTGTTCCATTTGTGACCATTTTCAACAAAACCACAATCGGACCATGAAGCACACAGAAAAGGAACGGGGCAGGGGGGCAGGCTGCGGTGGAGCTGCAGGAAATGTACCGTGAGTTTTCCTTGTGGGTTTTAGCTTGCCTTGCATCCTAGCTAGCTTGTACCGCGGCCTTGTGCTCTGTGCTGCCTTGGATGGGCTCCAGTCTGGGGTACCCTCCCATGAGGCAGTTAGAAGATGGATGGAAGGATAGTTTTAACTTTAAATAAGTTTAGAACAGTGTGTGTGGAGTCATCTGTGAGGAAGCAAAATCATTGGCAGAGCCTCAAATACAGATCAAACATCCTGCTGGAGTTATTAATGCAGGGTAAGATCAAATGTACAGGAACTAAACAAGACTCAATTAACATAATAAGGTAAGGGGGTCTCTAGGAGCCGTCATCGCTCATGGCCGATGGACTGAGGATCGATACTCTGGGAATCAAGTCGCTGTGTGGACATGTGG